ATGAATCGTTTTACTCACCCTTCCTGTTTGAATGTTGCATCCACGTGGGTAACGTGCAGATGACCAGGTTTAGCTGTGGATGTCGTCGAGGACTTTTTGAAAATTTTGGGTCGTTGGCCATTGTGGTTGACTTAGAGGGTCTTGCTCTAATAGTGTAACATCGGGTTGGGGTCTTTTGACTTGAACCATGTTTTATTGATTATTGTTATTTTGATTAAGTTACTGCGCAAGAAAAACTTTGGATTTTTGCCTTTTTGAGTTCCGCTGCCTTTTGAGTAATATTTTGAGTAATTTTGGGAAAACCTGTTGTTTACGGAGCATTGACTATATTTGAATTATTGAGAAATGTGCATCCTTTTGAGATGATTTTATTGTGTTCAATATTTTACTCTGATAAATATGATTGATTTGCCATTATATTTGTGGGATAGAAAAGGATGTTACACTTACCAAGAAAGACTATGTTAAACTGTCTCTTAAAAAAGGTGTTGAAGAAGGTAACAGTGAAGCAAATATTGGGATCTTGAAAACAAGGTAAGGGGTACGATCATATTTATAGATGCGTGTTTAAGGCAACATTAAAATATCGTGTCTAATTTTTGTCTTCTTTCATTGCAGAGAAGCTGATCCATGGTTGAAGCGAAAACAGGAGATTGAAGACTAGATTCAAGACCTTAATGTTGAGGCATCTAAGGGTATGTTACAGATGACACAAAGGCTACCAAAAAATAAGGTGTCATTTGCTGAAGATCATGTGCAAAATATTCCACATACCAAGCCTGTACGCCATATTTTGGGAAAAACAAAAGTCCCACTCAGACTCGAGTAATATGTCTCATAAATCACCATATACCATACCTTCCATTACATTATTTTTATACATGCATGTTATAAATAACTTGATAACTTGATCTAACTTACTAAAAAATTGTAAAACACTATGAAATGAATACTTAACAATCAATATGTAGAATGATATGTTTGGTTCATATTGTTATTACTATATTTAACTAAAATCTGAAATTTTTTCTGTATAGCTTGATGGAGCGCCTTGCAATTGGTGAAGCAACTTCTGGTGAACAATTGAATGACACATAGACATTAAGAATGTTGAGGGAAAGGTACCTTTAACATATAAAATATACATGCATTTATAGGAAATTTGTAACATCCTTTTCAATATTAAAAATTTTGTCAGAAAGAAATGTATAGTCTGGTAATAAGAAGTTAGTCGTACATACATAAATTAGTTATTAATGGTGGTGGTTTTTCATGTGGTTATAGGAACGTTGAGTCATGGTTCAGCAAAGAAAGGAGATTGATGACCAGCTACGAGAACTGAATCCGGAAGCATCAGAGGGAAAGTTTGAGAGGGATTAACATCTACGACATAATTGTCTTGGCGAAATACAGGAGAACACAGATGTCCCAAACAAACAAAGGTAAAATGTAAAATAAATCAACATATACAGTACGTTGTGTGAAAACAACAACACTATCTAATTTCAAAGACAACTTGGACTGCGGATATTTAAATATTTTTATGAAATCCATTGTATAAAATGTATAACTTAATTCGTTAAATTCCTGAGATGTTATGAATAATGGTAACAATATTGATGTTTCAACAACTCATGTCTATATTTTATCCTTATATTTACCAGCATGTCTTCAATATCAGGTCCAGTTCTGCTTTACATGATCAAGTTGGTCAACAAACACCAGATGGATGTGTATACGTAATTGATGTGGATGACGATGATGATAGACAAGGGTGGGATGATGAACAATCTAATGATGGAAAGGACTCAGATGATGAAGAATCCAATGATAATTTCTACTGGGAAAAGACTATCAGTTTCGGATACAAGGCTATGAGGAATGTGATGGTAAGTTTCAAATTTGATAGTCATTACAAACAATGCAGTTAATGTGTATAAATTTTATAACTAATTGATATGGTGAATTTTTTACAGCATTTTCCAAAGAAGGTTACAAAGGAAATTGAGTTGCTGGATATAGACATCAGGAGGATTTATGATGTGGAGGTGTGTTCTGCCCACCGTAACAAAATGTAAAAGTTCATGGTGGATGGTTGGTACCAATTTGCTAGGCGCAAGAGGCTCGGTAGGGGTGATAAACTTCAGTTCATGATGACGATTCCACCTCAAAGAATTTATGTGTCAGTTGTTAGAAGACATGAACACACTTAGGTTGGTAATCAGATGTTAACACTTGATGTCGTGGTACGACTATTGCCTTGGAAGCTGAAACAACTTTAACAAGTCTGATTTTGATATTTAAACTGTTTTATTTGTATGATGTTATGTATTAATCTTTAATATTTCCTAACCTTTAACTATGTTTGGTTGCAAGAAAACATGTTATTTTCGTAGACAATGTGGATGATGTAAAATATATTAAATGACCATTCTTTGCTCTAATAGATTATACTTTGCATATACGCACAATAATATATATATATATATATATATATATATATATATATATATATATATATATATATATATATATATATATATATATATATATATATATATATATATATATATATATATATATATATATATATATATATATATATATATATATATATATATATATATATATATATATATATATATATATATATATATATATATATATATATATATATATATATATATATATATATATATATATATATATATATATATATATATATATATATATAAGCGTTGATGTGGTTAATAGCATAAAGTTCAAAACAAAACTTTATTCGAATTTTCTATACCAAAACTTTATGCAACTCATAAGGTGGGGTTTGATGAAGGTCAGTGGCGGAGCCAGAAAGTTTTTGAAGCCTGGGAAAAAATTTAAAGACAATAAATTCATATTGTATATATAAATAGTTATTAATCAAAATAAAAGATTTTTAATTTAATTGATTTCGGAAGAATTTTAAAACTAACATAGCCATATCCAATTTGAGGCTGATACTAACATGGAATATCATTTCATGTGATTCATAATAATTTTTGAAATTAGCAACAAGTTAACAACATAATTTTATTTACTAACTACTGTAACTACAAACTAAATTTAAAATACAAATTCCTAGTTAACATCAATTGAACCATATAATTTAGAGTGAATATAAATTGAAGAATTGGACCTAATATATTTTTTATATTATTTGAGGATAAAATTTATTATTTTCTTCTTCTTTTTTACAACACTATACATGTTTTTTTTATAATTTTAGTAGCTGCTACTTTTATGTTAAATTTTATTTTTTTCAAGTATTTATTTTTTGTTTTTGGTTAATTTGATCATAAATAGCAACTTTATTTTAATTTTGCACTTTTTGTAATGTAGTTGAATTTAAATATTATCATATAAAAAATATTAATATAATGTATGCTTAATTGCATAAAAAAGGAAAAAAAAAATGTTTTATTTGTGAAAAATGTTTAAATTACGGCGGTTAAAACTGCCATTATCAACGACAAAAAACCACATTTTTATTTAATATATATTATGACATGAGAAATTTTATTCAAAAGTACTATTTTTCTGCATTTTCGTTAATTGTGGTGGTTTTAACCGCCACAATTTTCATATTCTTTTATAAGAGAAGGCAAAATTTTGGAGCCGAGCCCGGGCACATGCCCAGCCTGGCTGGGCCTTAAAACTGCCCATGATGAAGGTCAACTTCTGGATGTTGATGTAATGTCAAACAATTTTTGTCCCTTTAGAATGTTGTCAAGTAATTTTTTCTCTATTGTTGTTACTTTTTTAATTTTAGATTTCCATTATATATATATATATATATATATATATATATATATATATATATATATATATATATATATATATATATATATATATATATATATATATATATATATATATATATATATATGACTACCAATTTTATTTTCATTGTGAATGTCAATTATCTATGTATTGGGATTGTTTACTCCTCTTTTGTTCTACATTCCATTGGTTTTAATATGTTTTGTTTTAATATAACATTCTTTAAATTTTAACCTCAACTATAATACATTATGTTTTCATAATTAACACAATTTTATTTTTTCATTTTTAATTAGTTTTTTTAAACAACAATTCTCGTTCCATACCGATACCCGTGCAAATGCACAAGTCTTCCATTAATTTGAGACAGAAATAATACGTTGTACTTATTTTTTAATAAAACTAACATTAATATAATTTTTGTTACAAAAAGTTATATTATTATAATTGAGTTATATTTTACAATTATATAATATTCAATTTTAATATTTAATATATAATTTGAATTTTTAAATTTTAGCTTATTATTTAAATTTAAAACTAAAATGTAAAAGAGAGAGATTTGTTATTATTATTATTTTTAATGTAGTGTCAAATTAATAAATTATAGAATTAGTGTTACTGTTTAGAGTTGTTACCAAGATGATACCCTTAAATTTAGTTGGGAATGAGAATTCTCATCCAATAAAACACTTATATTCAATACTATATTATCTTTTATATTTATTTTATTTAAAAATAAATTAATAATTTAAATTATTTTGTATTAAAAGTACAGTATCCAACTATTTATCATAGGGTATCTAAATATTTACCTTTTAAATTTATGTATATTAAGATAAGATTAAGATAAAGATAAAATAATTATTTGAAAGTATTTAGAATAAATTTATACAAACTTCTTTTAAAAGTAAATTTTTAAAGGGTTATCTATTTTTGTAAAAAAAGAAAAAGAGAATTTCTTAAATAAATTCCAAATTAACTGACGCTAAGTATTTAGGTGGACATTTTAAACAAAAGAAGCAGAGTTATTCAAACTTTGATCACATCGTCAACACACCAATCACAAAATAGTTCAACTACAAAGACTTTTCAGTTTAAGATGATGCTCCTTTTAAGCTCTTAACTTTCACTTTCTTCAACTTTCACATAATCAGTTCACATTTTCTCACCATTCAAACATGAACAAACTCATCTTCACTTTTGCAATTTCAATCTTCCTAACCGTCGCCCTCGTCTCAGCTCGTCTATTTCCCGACATCCCATCATTAATACCTCCCGTCATCCCTCCCACCGGCGCGTGGGATACTTTCCGCAACTTCACAGGTTGTCACCATGGCGAAAACTACAACGGTCTCTCCAATTTGAAAAACTACTTCCAGCGCTTCGGTTATATTCCCCACGCGCCGCCGTCGAATTTCTCAGATGAATTCGATGACGCGCTCGAAGCTGCTATTAAAACTTATCAGAAGAATTTCAATCTTAATATAACCGGTGAACTCGATGAGAAGACTCTTCATCAGATTGTTTTGCCACGATGCGGAGTTGCGGATATCATCAACGGTACAACCACCATGAACTCCGGCTGGGAGACAGAAACAACGTCAAACAGTGAGAGCAAGCCGCGGTTTCACACCGTGTCTCACTTCACTGTGTTTCCCGGGCAACCAAGGTGGCCGGTGGGAAAGCAGGAGCTGACGTACTCGTTCTACCCTGGTAACGAGCTTACGAAAACTGTGAAAAGTGTATTTGCAACTGCGTTTGCGCGGTGGTCGGAGGTTACGACGCTGAAGTTTACCGAAACAGAGTTGTATTACAGCGCTGATATTAAGATCGGATTCTTCAGCGGCGACCATGGAGACGGCGAGCCGTTCGATGGAATTTTGAGGACACTCGCGCATGCTTTCTCTCCAACTAACGGGAGGTTTCACCTTGACGCTGCTGAGGACTGGGTGGTTTCCGGCGATGTGTCGAAATCGGCGTTGTCAACCGCTGTTGATTTGGAATCGGTGGCGGTGCACGAAATTGGGCACTTGTTAGGGTTAGGTCACTCTTCGGTGGAAGAGGCAATTATGTTTCCGACGATATCTTCACGGTTGAAGAAAGTGGTGCTGACGGAAGATGATATAAAAGGAATTCAATACATCTATGGGAGTAACCCTAGTTTCAATGGCTCCACAGCCATGTCTTCGCCGGAGAGGAACTCCGGTAACAGTGGTAGCAGCGTCACATCTCGGTGGTCCCCGTGGGGACTTTTCACTTTGTTGACATTTGCGTTTTCGCATTTGATATTATAGGATTTATTTATTATAATATTTTTAATTATTTAGAAATCTTACAGAATTGAGTAAAAAAAATCTTACGGAATATTGATCGTGTTCCATTATGTTGATAAACATTTTAAAAGCTAAAAAAGTTACATAGTTAAAGTTTTTTTTTACCGTCACTTAAACGGCTGATTATATAAAATGTTTGAGTTTTATTTTAACTATTTAAAAAATAATAATAATATATAATTATAATGTATTGACAGTGTAAATTATTTTTACACATGCATAACAATTAATCTTATATATATATATATATATATATATATATATATATATATATATATATATATATATATATATATATATATATATATATATATATATATATATATATATATATATATATATATATATATATATATATATATATATATATATATATATATATATATATATATATATATATTATTTTCTAATATATTTGATGTCAAATAATACCAACAGATAGTTGTAATATATTGACAATGTAAAATTGTTTATACGTGCATAACAATTAATCTCATAGTTATATATATTTAGATATCAATTTTGTAATATATTTGATGTCAGTATAATACTAGTACTAAACTATGAATCATACATAGGAATGTCGCTCCCAATATTTAAAAAATAGTTGATATTAATTCAAAGTTGAAACAAATGATTTTCTTTTATCTAATTGATCGATTAGACATAAAAAAAATTATATAAATGAATTACGTTTTTTTTACCAAGTCATCTTAACATATTTCATTAGTCAGGAATTTTCAATATAAGGAGGAACTAAATCAAATTAAATACGCCTAGGGCATGAATTGGCCGCCATAGGGTGGGCAACCATATTCACTTGGCGCCTAATAAATTTTACCTCAAAGTTTGGGTTCATAGCCAACAAGGCTTTTATAAAATCTAGAATGACATAAAACTCTGAATTGCCTTTACAACTGGATGGAATGGCTTGAACAACTTTCTGAGAATCACATTCGAAAACCACATTATCCAGCTGCAAGACAATGGATTCCTGAATTGCTTCTTTGACAACCATGGCTTCAACTTCAATAATGAACATAGTTCTGGGATCCCAAGTCACACCTGCTGTAATAAACATCCCATTATGATCACGCAAACATCATCCCCTATTAGAAGTACCTTTCTGATTATTATAAATCGCGCCCACATTACATTTCAACCAACCTTCCCTAGGCGGATTCCAAGAAGAAGGATACTGATGGTTGCCTATGGGCTTACAACTTTCCTGGGCCATATATCATTCCTGCCACTTGTGAAAAGCTAATCATCCCAATTTCAAGGTTGTCTCTTGTTCATTGTTCCAAATGAGGTTATTCCTGTTCTTCCAAATTTCGTCAAGCATAAAAACAAATCTACCAACTACTTTCATATCCTTCTTGCTACAGATGTCGAAAATAAGGGATTTAACTTCATAAAAAGAATGTAATCGAGCATCCATAAGAGAAGACAAACCTGATGCCCTCCAACACTGGTTAATCTCGTTACAACCAAAAACCAAATGCCAATCATCTTCAAGATTATTTTCACAAAACTGACAAGTAGCGGGACACTGAACATGGTGTTGACGGAGTCTAGATCGCGTCGGTATGCAGTCCTTACAAGTTCTCCACATGAGATGCTTAACCCTTGGTGGTGCTCTAATATTCCAGATACTATTCGAATCATCCTCCTCTCCCCCGTTCTCATTCCTCCTCCAAAGACTTATCCACAACCTATAGTCATAACGCACATTATAGACTCCATTTTTTCTTCCTTCCAAATCATCTTATCCTCTTTCACCTCCTCTATAAGAGGTACCTGTAATATATCCTCAGCCTCTGCATAATTAAATAGATCTCTAATAATCTATAAATCCCACGGTTTCATATTAGGTAGTGTTACGGTGAAAATCAGATATCAATCTATTAATTAACTTGAATCATAAATTGTGAAATTCACCACCGAGTTTTGATTTATCCAAAGGAAAGGGTAAAGATCGAAGAAACCCCTAAGTGCGCTATGTAACAACAAAGCTAGAGATCTAAGGTTCAGGGGTTGGTTATACCTAGGGAAGGTGCTAGCATCCTAAGTATCTGTAGTACTCTATAGGAACCTCTTGTTAGTATTTGTGTTATGTTAAAGTTTGCTTGCTAAGGCAAAGACATAAGGTATGTACACTAAGTATGCTCGTCAATACATCACATCTCATGCCTACGTATCCTGACTAGGATAAAATCAGAGTATTTGTACGTAGTTCACCTATCTAAGGGGAGAAACTCTTGATTGTGGTCAAGATTCCAATGCGGAGTAAGTATCTATAACCATGGTACTTACATAGAGTTGACAATCTCTCTAAGTCTAAGTTGAAAAACTAACTAAAATCTGACTTTAGCAAAGTCAAAGGGGAAAGTGAGTACTCATGACAATGGTACTCACATAGAGTTTACAAACTCTAGACTTAATTCTAAGTTGTAAATAAAAAATGGCTCTAACAAGGCCAAGAAGGGAAGAGTAAGTGCTTATAACAATAGTACTCACATAGGCTTAACAAAATGACATTTTGCATAACAAGGAAAAGTAGAAAGGTAAATGACAAAAATTAAACGGTCCAAAATCTAATTTTATTCAAGAATGGTAGCTTGCAAATGGCAAATCTCCATGGAACATTACAATTTGAAAAGAGAAATAGGGAAAGGTTACATTGAATCCAATGACAACTGCTAGCCCTAATAACTAAGAATCCCCTAAAGCCTTGCTTCTAACGAGAGCGTTGAGCTTGAACTTCTGATTGGATTCTTCCACAAAGGCGACAACCCATTTAATGTAATGAAATTCCTTTTGCCCATAACCTTTGCCTGGATCGCCCTTTCGGGTTTTCAATCCACCGGGACGCTCATTTTTGCCTAAGTCGCCATTTCGGGTTTTCAACTTAGCGAGCTTTTATTTTTTTTTATCCCTAATTTTTACCTAGATCTCCTTCATAGGTTATGATCCATTGGGATACCCTTTTTTTTAAATAGCCTTTTCAGGTTTTTGACTTAGCAGGTTCTTTAGGCATAATATTTTCTTACTACATCAGAATTCACAGGCTGTGCAAGTTATTCACCATCCATCATTGTGAGAATAAGTGAGCCTCTTGAGAAGACTGTTTTCACCATAAATGGGCCTTCATAATTGGTCGTCCATTTTTCACGCATATCCTTATGACCTGACAAGATTTTCTAAAGTACAAGCTCCCCTTCTCAGAATTCTCGAATATGGACTTTCTTATCGAATGCTCTCTTGATCCTCCTTTGATACAACTGCAGGTGATACATCGCAGTCATGTGCTTCTCATCAATAAGACTCAGTTGATCAAATATTTCTTGAACCCACTCTGCTTCATCAAGCTTGGTCTCCACCAGGACCCTTAAAGATGGTATTTCAACTTCAATGGGAAGAATGACATCCACCCTATACACCAAAGAGAAAGGCGTTGCCCCTGTTGAAGTTTAAACGAATGTTCAATATCCGTGTAAGGAAAATGGCAGCATTTCATGCCAATCCCTATAAGTCTTCACCATTTTCTAGAGAATCTTCTTGATGTTTTTATTTGCAACTTCGACGGCTCCGTTCATCTTCGGACAGTAGGGAGAAGAGTTGTGGTGCTCAATGCTAAAGTTTTCACACAACTCCTTCATCGTCTTGTTGTTCAAATTAGTCCCATTATCTGCTATGATTATAATCGAAATTCCATAACGACAGGTAATCTCTTTCCTGATGAAATGGGCAACCACTTGCTTGGTTATATTGGTGTAAGTGCGACTTTAACCCACTTTGTGAAGTAATCAATAGCAACCAAGATGAATCAATGACCATTGAAGGCTTTAGACTCGATTGCCCCAATCATGTCAATGCCCCACATAGAGAAAGGTCAAGGTGATGACAACATATTTAATAATGTTGGAGATACATGCATCTTATCGACATAAATTTGACACTTATGGCATTTCCTGGCATATTGGATACAACCAGTGTCCATGGTCAACCAGCAATATCCAGCCCTCAAAATCTTCCTGGACATGGCGTGTCCATTGGTGTGAGTGTCAAATGATCCTTCATGAATATCGTAAATCAACAGGTCTGCTTCTCGTCTGTCAACACATCTATGTAAGACCATGTCATGATTCCTCTTGTAAAACACATCACTGTTGAGAAAGAACTTGGACGTCAATCTCCTTAAAGTCTTCTTATCAAGAGCTGTAGCGTTAGCTGGATATTCCTAATTTTGCAGATAATTCTTGATATCATGGAACTGTCGCGGTGAAAATTGGATACCAAACTATTGATTAGCTTGAATCTAAATTCATTACAACCAGTCTTTAATTTGTCCAAAGGAAGGGAAAACGATCGAATTATCCACAATGCAATGCAAATTCAAAAGCTAGAGAGTTATAGGTTCGGGGGTTGGTTAAACTTAGGGAAGGTGCTAGCATCCTAAGTTTCTGTAGTACTCTATAGGAACCTCTTGTTTTATGTTGTTTATTGCTAAGGGTTATCTGCTTAAGGATGAAAGACCTAGTGGTTTATTTCTAAGTATATTCGCCAAGACGTCGCATCTTGTGCCTACATATCCTGACGGGAATGGAATCAGAGTATTTGTAGTTCCCCTAAAGGGTTTAAGGAGCTCTTTGACTGTAGTCAAAGTTCCTAAGGGAGAAGGATAGTTGATTGATTGGGTATAGGAGAAAAGATGAGTCGTCACCTCGAGGGAGAATATTTGACTTAGCCACCACAACTTGTAGGAAAATATTGATTGTATTGTCATGGGGCAGGAGATATATATCTTGACGGTCTAGATGACTCACGTCTAATTCTCTAATGTGTTTGAATAGTTTGAATTGAGTTGAATATTGATTGGATTTATCTATGTTGTAAAGATAAAAGAAAAAGGTTCTCCTTATGGGGTAGGATCTACCTTAAGCTGATCAACTTGAAAA